AGACAAAAGACCAGAAGATCGCCTCACCGGCAATCATCACCCAGATAAGCAAAGGTTACCACTAGGCACAGAATCAAGCAGTAAACGTATGTTCAATACACAGTATGTTCACAGTTCAATCCTGAGCTACACATATTCACCTCTATTGATGTTCTCCCTCTTTGTCACAGACAACAATAAGAGATCCAGTAATGGGTTCCTCCCACCCATAGCCTGTCATAGTCTCTCAGTTAATTTGCTTCATATAGTTATTTGCTCTGAATATGATTAGCAATAGCTATCAAATTCCTATTCACCCTTTCTAGTTTCTCCAGTACTGCCCTCAGTGCATCAGCTACTCACTGTCAAAGCTAAGATTGGTTCACTTGGCTTTTTGAAAAGGAGTGAGGATGGGTTTTCTCAATTTGATCTTTAAAGTTGTTAGTAGTGGTTTTAATATTGTTTTAATATTAAATATTGTTTTAAAGTGGTTTTATTATTAATTTATCAGATTAAAATATGTTGGTGATATTTATAGAAAGTTGTATATTATTAATAAAGAAATAGTAAGGAAAAGAGCCAGTTTGGTCTAGTGGTGAAGGCACCAGGCTAGAAACCAGGAGACGGGGAGTTCTGGTCCCGCCTTAGGCATGAAAGCCGGCTGGGAGACTTTGGGCCAGTCCCTCTCTCTCAGCCCAACTCACCTCACAGACTTCTTCTTGTGGGGAAAATGGGAGGAGGAAGGAGTATTAGGTATGTTCTCTGCCTTGAGTTATTTATAAAAAAATAATAATGGTAGGATTAAAAAAAAGGAAAATAGTTATATTGAGGCAGATTTTCTAATTGTTACCCTCTTATTTGTTACATATGTAAAGCATAATAAAGTATTTAATTGTTATCTGGAGAATTATACTGAATTTGCTAAATTTAGAGCTATAGATAATTAGAAACTTTATTGTGAAACTTATGAATATTCTATCAATTCCAAATTATTTCGGGATCTTAAAGCATTTATATTGACATCTCTAATCATCAGAATCAAATATTCTTTAAGCTTTGATACAGTTCAGATAGTAATAGTAATAGCTTCTGTCATTACTTTTATTGTCCTGAAATTCTCAATCCACTTAGGGATCAAATCCAATATTATAGGGATAGACAACTGTGCTTCTTCAGATGTTTATTTTTTTATTAGATTTCTATCCCACTTTTCCTTCAGGGGTTCAGGGCAGTGTATATAGCCCTCTGTCCTCCCATTTTTTCCTGCAGCAATAACCATGTAAGTAAGGTAGGTTGGGCTGAGAGAGAGTACTAGTGAACTTTTGTGGTTGAGGGTGGATTTGAATCTGGGTCTCCTTGGTCCAAGTCTAATACCTTAACCACTAGACCATGCTGGCTCTCTGAAAAACTAGCCTGGTCAGTGAGTTGATTCTTGGGACTTGTAGTTCATCAACATCTGAAGAAACACAATTTGCCATCCTTATGATATAGCATCAATGATGCACCAACTAAAACTTCAAATAAGGCTTTTAATGTGATTTTATTTTGTGTTTCTTCTCAGTGATATGGAATTCACTGTATCATATAGAGCTGAATTGTTTATAAGATTATTTCTAATGAGTTTGTTTAATGTGGTAGTTCTGTTTCACAGATTTTACTGATATTTTATTAGGCTTTAGTTAATGAAAGCCAGGATGTTATTGGTCCCATTCAGTTCCTGCTGGAAAGAGAAAACTACTTTATAAGGGTAAGAAACAAACATTGTTTGCAATGTGACTTTCTGCCTATTGAGAACGACATAAAATTTGAAAATGCCTGGACCAGGAGTCCATACCTGTGACCTTCATGCAGGAAGACCCTGTTTTTTTACTCTTGGAAATCTTATGGTTAAATAACAATTTTCTACAAAAGTAAGAAATAAAAATAGCGGTGTTAAGCCTCTCCTCCAAAAATATCATGCCTACTGTACTTTCTTGGCAAAATCACACAAATGAAAAAAGAAAAATCTGAAAAGGTCTTGTTCCTCTCCTAGCCCGTGCCCTGGCCATTAAAAAAAAAAAAAAAAGTTCTGAGCTGAAACTCTCGGTGCTGAAGTGTCTTTTGCATCTGATCCTTTACTCTTCATCTGTAAGGTAGCTTTTCCAAGAGGTATTGGCCTGTTGTTGGTCATTCTGGCTTGCAGTTCTGAGAATTGTAGGGTAACACATCTGGAGGGCTTTTAAATTGGGGCAGGATGTAGACTTTATAACTGTTAGGTTATTCACTAGCAGCTGACTCTACCATTGTACAAATTGGTAATGTAAACTTTTAATGGGCATGATTTCTGTTCTTTAAATTACAGTCATGAGTTACTTTAGGTTAATTGCAGCTTGGGAGCTTGATTTCATCAGAACCACGCCAGTGGGGAGGGGAGAAAGGTTGTAGAGTGCCTTGCTTTTTAAAAAAAAAAATTGGATGGGTACTGGAGTTATCAACATGCCCCTCCTTGCCCCAATGCCAAGATACCCTCTTTATTGTTAGTCAAGGACATGTTCTCACAACAGATCCTCCATATCACTGCCAGCCTGCTTCTGAGTCAGGCTGAAAGTCAATCAAGGTGATCCAGCAGGAAAGTGGGGTTTTCCATTGGAAAACTATACAGCCTCCTATCCAAACATCTGGATTCTTGTGGAGGAGGAGCCTGAAGGAGGTCGGTGATCTGCAAGGCTTCAGCAGGATTGCCCCCTCCCAGCCAGCCATGGGGCTCTATGCCCCTCTGCTTGGTGTATTGGATATCAGGGAAAACAGAACTTTGCCTGACAACCAAAGTGGCTGCTTTGTCTTGTCCAGGAAATGTCAACTTCACAGATGATGTTCCATGAGCCTGATATTCCTATTTATGCACAAAGCATTCTCCCCTAATTCTGGGCCCCACATTTGCATCCTTCCTATGTCATCAACCTGCAACAGTGCTGTTGTCACTTCTCCAAACACTGATCCATGAAGGAAAGCACATCATTAGCAGTGAGGGGAAAAGCCCAATCTCGCGTTTAAGATATACCATTAAATAGATCTATTTTTATCCTACTTCTATCTAGGAAAACTATCTGTCTGTATTATCTCTGTATTGATTCCCTTTGGGATAGATTTGCCTTAGCTTTTCCTATCTAGCCATTTTGTTAGTTTCTGTAATTGCTCCTTCTCGGGCTTCTTTCAAACATCCTGTAGGCTCTCTGTTGGCCTATACCATGTAGTGCACACTGAACCCCTGCCTGCATCTCTGGGCTCCTGTGTCTCACTGTCTCTTCAGTAAGTATTAGTAGAAAAAATGGGGTGCTGAAGGTTTCCAGTTCATATATATAAACTATTACATACGCACCAGCAAATCCCAGTAGCTTCTGTATATTGAATGGCTATTGGCCAAAGCATATTTTGGATGATGGATAATATTTAAAATACCAATATCTATAGTTTTCTGAACAATGAAAAACAGGTATTTTAGTGTCAAGTGTGGTTGGACTAAATTTGCCTTGACTTAGCTAATAGTGGTCAAATAAGTCTTTACTATTTGAGATCATGAGAGCTAGTTTGGTGTAGTGATTAAAGGCACCGGGTTAGAAACCAGAAGACTCTTGAGTTCTAGTCCTGTCTTTGGCGCAAAGCCAGCTGGGTGACCTTGGGCCAGTCCCTCTCTCTCAACCCTAGGAAGGAAGGAAAGGCAAACTGCTTCCAAAAAACCTTGCCAAGAAAGCTGCAAGGACTAGTCCAGGTAGCTGTCAGGAGTCAAAGGCATACACGCAGACACAACTGAGATCAAACCCTTTATCTTCCAATATGCTATCCTTGGAAAAAGACCAACATATAAGATGTATCTGGTTTTTACAGAATGTTGTTCAGAAGGTCTTAGCTTTATTACACTTTGTTAGATACCACACATCTCAAGTTCGATTTCATATTCAAACAGTTGAAAGAATATGAAATGGGTGGTGGTTCTAGGTTGTAGCCAGGAAATACAATGCAAAATTTTGAGAAGTATTTAGCATAGGAGTGGGAAATCTGTAACCCTGAAGGTACTGGTGAAACACAATTCCCAGGAGCTCTAGCTAACATGCCAGCAACACCTGGAGTACCACAGATGACCTATCTCAACTGGCCTTTAGAATCATCTCATTTCTGTTTGATCTTTTATGACGACTTTTTTTTTCAACTATGACATCTGGAAACCTTATCTAAAAAAAGAACAGAAAAGTTAAATTCTCATATCAACAGGCCTTAATACTAAATATAGTAGAGCTTTGGCTGATGGCCTGTATGTTTTGCATCCCTTAAATAGGTTAATATTCTAGTCTTGTGTGTCAAGGTAAATATGAACGTGGTTTTAGTTAAGAGGACTCAGGCCTGTACTTGGCTGCTTTATATAATTAAAAAGTCCTATAGATAAACTATATATTTGTAGCAAATAGTATATAATCAACATATTCAAGTATCACATAATTGGTTTCCTGTAGCAATCACATGAAATTGCAATGGCTTGTAGGCACTGGTGGTACATATTGTATATATGCAGCTGTTGTCTTCTGAGGAATGTTATAAAGTGTGAAGTGTTTACTTATTAATTACTCGTCCTTCATTATTTATACTGTCTGATTTGTTTTAAAGTTCATGATTTGTTTAATTTATTCAAAAACTACCTAGCTTTGTTAATAATAGTTTCTCTGTTAATTAGGAAGTAGACAGGTATTTGAAGCACAATGATTTCTTAGCTCTAAGGAGAAGGGAAATGCTGTACAAGAAATGGTTTGAAAGTGTTTCAAGACCTCTGCTTCAGAAAATTCAGGACAAAGTTGACAACCAGTCAAGCAAAGAAATAGAAGAAAGGAAGCGAAAACAGCTCTCTCTTTATCTAAACTATTGTAATGAGAAGGTATTGGAAAAGAAAAGCTTTTACTACTACATGACATTGGGAGGCTGTTTGTGGATTTGTGATTTTTGATGAAAACTGAAACTAATACTAGTGCTTTATAGAAGGTATAATTATTTTAATAGTAGTGTGTAATGGAAAATGTATTCTTCGTCATGCCAGCTTAGAATAACATTATTAGAATTTCATTTGTTTTATTTTTTTTAAAATTTCAATAGAGTGACATGCTGCATGTTTAAAATGAGGCCTAGATCATTGGAAACAGAGGTAATGTTTTTTCTTTAGAACAGCCTGCTCAGAGAGGGCTGTTGTATATAATATATTCTGAGAATTCACTGAGGTCTGGTGATGCCATCATTTAAAAAAACCTTCAGCATTACCTGGGTTGAATAGACACATTTAGGACTTTAGCTAATCAGAAGCATGTTTTCTTCTGAACAGAAAATGATTTGGTTTCATTTTGTCACTTAGAGACAAGCAAGGTGCCTGTGCAGGAACATAACAATGCAGACAATGCGGTTTGGCAACCTGACTTTATCTCTCACTTCTTTTGGGAACAATAAAGATCATGGCCTTTAATAGTTGCTTATTTCTTGCCAGGTGCTGCACTTCAGGGTGAGACTGGAACTCTCTACCATGATTGCTCTTTCTGTAGATGGGTTGAAAGGAAAATGGGGAAGGGGGAGATATGATATTGTTTACTCTATAAGGTCTTTTCTAGAGAAAAATAATCACTTCCTCTAATATATATTTCATTGTGTATTAACCAAATTACTAACTTCCTTTTTGGTTCATCAAGATGGATGATTGAATTTTATTTCTTGAAATATTTGGACCTCTGTGCCAAAGACTTTATACACAGCTGTGAAAATGTAGTCGCAAGATTAGTGTAAAGGCAGCCAGTTATCTGTGGAAAGAAGACAAGGGAGCCTAACATGCAGAGCAGACCAAGTGAGATGATAAACTCTAATCTACAACTTCAGTGAAGTGCATGGAACTCATACCTGAAGAATGGAAAAAAGTTATACAGACTTGAACCAGCAGACATAGAAAGTTGTATTTAAGTTGCCCTCATGGACTCATTGCACAGCCTTCAACATACAGCACTGCTACTCTTCATGTTCTCTTCCCCATATGTTACACAGGCCCATCTCAGGCTTGTGGTGAGGGTAAAAAGGGGCTGTTAAGTTAATAAATAAATGATTATTAAGTTAATAAATAAATGATTATTATTTTATAATATTTATAATAAATAAATATTATAAAAGGAGTGCTTATTTTAAGAATGAGTCAAGAATTCAAAGAGGGCTTAGGTACAGTATTAAACCATCTCTGCTTGAATTCCTGCAAGGAGAATTAGTATAGACACCCTGTGTCAAGCAGGCCTTGAGTTCTCCTCCCACCTCCCAAAGTCTTTCCTGGCTGTTAGATTATATAAGTCTCCATTTTAGAGAAAGGGAATGAAATAGATGGTGGAGCATTACATGAAAGATGTCTGATCTGGAATGCTTTGGCTATTTCAGTTGGGTAACATAGGCAATACTGTCTCTGTTAAAGGTTATGAATTTTGTAGTTCAACTTCATGATCCCTGCTAACAAAATATACTATCGGTGTCAATTCCTTGGTGGGAAAGACAACTATCAGCCCTTTCCACCTTCCTTGGAGCCATCTGCTAGCTTCTATCTTCTTTCCCAACATGATTCCCTCCCCTCAAAATTAGGACTTAAGATTTCTCAATTGGAGGGCTGACATCAATCAGTTTTGAGCATTATAGTAAAATTCTCAGGATCTGATCTGAGGGAGGAGAAACCCCTTCCCTACAACTGACATAAGTAACTGTAGTTATTTCTGTTCTTGATTTATTTTGCTTCACTCAGCAAAATCCTCTTCCATTCCAGATGCAATAGTTTCTGAAGAAATTACATACATACATGTGTAAGTGTGTGTGTATAATTGGCTAATCTCCATTTATGTATGCAGTTGCCAATATATAAATGCAGATCACATATAAGACTTCTGTCTCATTTGAGCTCCTGATTTGCTGTATTATCCAGAAATGTTTGGATAGATTTCTATTTTTGGCTATGACATATAGCCTCAAAGGCAGTATCAATGAGTAAATATGTTCTTCAACAGTATTTATACCTTCATTTAAAAAAAACAAAACAGAAAAATCCTCAAAAGGTAAAAATAGAGATTTGCAAATATGAGATTAGCCAATAAGAATTATTTATGGTAAATGATTGGAAAGTGTGTACCATTTCCACATATGTGCATCATAAATAATTGATGTGATTGGGTTTGTATGTAGAACTGTATTCTGTCATTTTAAAGATGGAGTTTATATGTCGTTTCAGTCTTACTTAACTGCCTTTTGTAGTAAGGAAGAATGAAACTTGTCCTTGATGTCACTTTCTAGTATTATCTGGCATATTTTAACATTCTGTGCTTTTCTGCTCATATATTTGTTTTCTGCTTTCCTTGTATTTTTTCCTTCTATTAGGCTTCCTCTGCTCCAGGATCCTCCGTCTCATTATGTGTGCTTCTTCCTCCATTTCATCCACTTTTTGAGTCCCACAGTCCCTCCTATAGTTCCTATTTCCCTTCTTTTCTTCCTCCATTTCCCTTTTCTCTCCTTTCAATCTCCCCATCTGCCTCTCCCCCAATTATCATTCTCCCCTCAGTCTTACTTCCTCCGTCTGTTCCATCCCATTTCTTTCATTTGCTTCCTCCATTTCCCCCTTACCTCCACTCACCTTCCATTTTTTTCCCTTCACCCTTCCTACAGCTATCTCCCACAGAACTGGTCAGTTCTCCAAATGTTCTGCCAAATCTCCCCAAATCTGTGGTTCCTCCTACTTCATCTTCTTCCCCTCAATCTTCCGTTTCTTCAGCTACAGATACCTCTTTGGTCTCACAAAATCCTCCAGTCCCACAGTCCCTCCTATAGTTCCTATTTCCCTTCTTTTCTTCCTCCATTTCCCCCTTACCTCCACTCACCTTCCATTTTTTTCCCTTCACCCTTCCTACAGCTATCTCCCACAGAACTGGTCAGTTCTCCAAATGTTCTGCCAAATCTCCCCAAATCTGTGGTTCCTCCTACTTCATCTTCTGCCCCTCAATCTTCCGTTTCTTCAGCTACAGATACCTCTTTGGCCTCACAAAATCCTCCAGATTCTGAACAGAAATACGCTCGTGACTTCAGTGCTTACCATTCCCATAACCCTTTCTTCCTCCCTGTACTTCCACCTATCCAGTCTCAGAGGAGGTATCAAGCTCGGCAGAAGAATAGTGACAGTGTTAAATATCCCTGAAGACAGAAGATGCTTTGATTTCCTTCAGTGCTCTGGCTCATAAATAAAGGGCCAGTTCTTCTACGGTAGACCAGGTTCAAAGGTTTATGGTTGTAATGCTTCCCAAATGTACCATGAAAATGATTGATGACTTAGGAAAAAGATCTTCAGGATTCAGTGCTAGGCAACTGCAGTTTAGGCACCATGGAGTGAAAGAAAGAACTAAGGGATTGTGTAATGATGGACTTTATGTATTGTCTGTCCAGCATGATATTGTTATTTCCCTTAATGTTTGTAATAGATGTGTACTACACAAGACTGAGCTCTTTGGAGCAGCAATATATCCTATATTTTTTGTTTAGCGAGCTATAGTTCTTGTAAATGTATATATAACATAACAGATAAAAATCTTAACTGGGATTATTTACTGAAGGTATCCAGCTGTGTGGGAAAGATCACCACTGCAAATGGATTTGGTTTCAAGGTCATTTCTAATGTAAATGTCATACGGTAGGCAAAAAAAAAAAAAAATTGTGAGGCTGCGTAGTCTTTGTAATGGAGAGTGCTAGCCTATCCATAGAAGTGCAGTTTGCAAGGCTCCTTAGTTCGGACTTGGAAATATGGCTTATACATGAGCTTAGAACAAATAAAAATGTGTTGTTTATATGTGGCCTACATCTCACTCTAAAATCAAACAATCATTCCCCAACTTATGTGTTACATTAAATACTCTTAAAAAGCATGCTTAGTCATGGTAAATTTCTTCTTTTTCAGAAAAAGAAATTAAGTTTTGCCTTGATCAGTATCAGGACTATGGCATATAGGAAGGGAATGATTAAACGTTTCCTTCATGTTCTGTTCATCTGTTGAAAATGCCCCCTCCCCCAAACACAGACAAACATTCTAATTTTTCTTTGAAATCACCATTTTCTGCAAAGTGTGGGGTGGTAAATGACAGGAAGAAAGGATGGGGCGGAAATGGTTAACCCTCTCCCTGTTGGTCCTAATAGACGTTGAAATCCCATGAAGCTCCTTTTTTGGGAGGGGAAAGGTCTCTAGTGATTAAAAAAAAAAAAAAAAACCTTTAAAAATATGCTGCATGGACAGTGTAATTCAGTCCTTACTGTCTTGAATAACTAAATTTTTTTCTAAAAGAGTCTCATAATTTATAAGTAAAGGGCTGTTGCCCTCTCAAAATGCTAACCTCGGTAATGCTGAAAAGGTGGTGTGGCTTCGTTTAACACAGTTTGTGTAGTAGCTGAAATAACTTGGATTTTGTATGCGTTTAAATGACAAATTCACTTTCCTGTAAAGTGGATAAAAGTATCCTGATTCAGTGTTGTTGATTCATATGGGTGATAAAAATGCATTCATTTTACTGTAAGTAAATATAAAAATTGGGGCTACAAGAGTGCTCTTCACTGAGATATTTTCTGTCTGGTTCTGTTATAGCCATGGGTTCACTGAGTGCTCTTTCTCCTCACATAGGGTGGTGCATTTTTAGAAAGTTATAGTCCATCGTCTTACGATCCTTTCTTCCTGAAGACTTGTTCAGACTTTTGGAAGGTGAGAGAGGCTGTGCACTCCAGTTTTCCAGATGAGCAACTTTGACTTCTTTTTCTTAACATTGTGGACAGGACTTGTGAGGGATGGGCTTGGGTTAGAGGTTTTAAAAGAAGAGGGAGGAAACACAGTACAGGTGAATGGGCGGGGGTGGGGTTGGCCTCCTGGCTACTGACACTGATATAAGGACACATCAGTGCAGAGCTGGTCTTCCCTTTCGCGCACATAGAGAATGTGCCGTTCTCACAGTTAGGTGAACTTCCAACAGGACTGGAGCTGTTCCCAGTTTCTGACTGCTTAACTAGAAATGGACTTGGAATTTCTGAGAAGACAAAGCAGGTCAAGGTAGGAGGGAAGAAGCATGGAGACAGAGAGGGTATTTTACACAGTTAAAACTGGTATTGCTAGTAACTGCTGGAATATAATGTACATGTTCTTACAGAGTAATTAGAGAATAACACATTACATAAATAGTTTCATCTTGGTTGCCACTCTTCATGTAAGTCTTTTAAACAGTGGTGAAAAGAAAGTGATAAAATACTCAAGCTTCCTAGAGTAGGAATACTTGTTCTTCATATAATGATTATGTTAATACTTACATCATTCATAAAAGACATCTTCGTGTAATCACCCCTGTATTACAGATTAGGGAGTGAAATTAGGAAACGTTGGTTTGCCTAAAGCTACCAAATAGGTTTCTGGTTGACCTGAGGATGGAACAGGCAATCCATCCTCAGGTCAACCAGGATGGCTTATACTGGCTTATATATTCTCAGGTCAATATTGGCTTATCCAGTAACTGACTTAGCTTCATCAGCCAGAAACCAGATCTTTTTCAGGAAGCCTCTTATTTGGCAGTGCTCAAGAAAAAGAAAAGACTAACGCTACCTTCAACTCTAATCCTTGGTTGGCAGTTGGGTCTAGCTGAAAGGGATCCAAAGCTGATGGATGGATGGTGAGGTTCAAGAAGAGGAGGACAGCAGCTCAGTATCTATGCTTTAACACTAGTTGTGAATGAAGTATCTTTGGTTTCTTCATGCAGAGGGAGATGGCTGCACTTTCCTTTCAATGTTCAAAGTGCTCAGGCTTCTTTACTCTCCTTGATGCCTACAGCAAATTAACCATAGGTCTGACTAATTTAATGTCATGGATTTTTGAAGTATTGAAACATGAATTTAGCTGTGTTTTTCTAGGCATCAGTTCCTCCTTTGCATGACCCCTTGTTAAAGGAAGTACAAGGAAGATACATTGAAGCCGGCATTATCCAGCAATGTGACACAGGTTCTGTAATGTATTTTTTTGCTTCTGATAATCTTTATCTCAGATTTAATGGCTGAGAGTTTGGAGACCCTAGACCAGGTTGTCGAATTATTCTCTTTCCCCTGCTTCCATTAAGCTTAAAGTAGTCTGACCAAATTTGAAAACACTGGAGACCTTTTCCAAAAGGTGATACATACAGCAAGTAGTATGGCTGTATCTTGGGAGGGGAGGGGCAGGGGGAGATTGGATTTGGCCTGATATTGTTAGTTTTTTTCATCAGAACAGGCAATCTGCCTAATGAGGGGAAAAAAACTTTTTTTCTATATGCCTTCAACTTTCCACAGGAAAATTATACTCCTCTAAAGAGATGAATGAACTGCATAAGACTGAGCTACCACGGCTTCCTTTGAGTCGGCAGCTTGTGAACCCCATAGAGTGGCTGAAAATCCCATTCCAGTATATGGAAAGTGATGTTCGTCAAAGAAGCCGGTAAAGTTTGATAAGCCTTTACATTTTAAAATACATTTTCTGTGGCCCTGTTGAATGTCATGGCTAGCGATCATATATAAAAGATGACTAAGAAGGGTTTAATGGTGACATTCTCTGAACCCTTTGAGACACATATGTTACCATTATGTTAGATGGATGATTATATAAATCCATTCTAAATTATCTAAAACTAGCACTAGCCAGGATTTGTAATTAACAAAATATAGTCTGTTCTCTCATAGAGGATATTAATAGAAATCAGACTGCAAAACCATTGAAACCATTCTACCCTTTCTTGAAGTTATGGTTGATTCATAACTACTGTAATAATTCATTTGGCACATTGTTTTGTCAAATTTACTCTTTTTCTTTTCCAGTTTCGTATTTTCTCTGTTATTCTTTTTTTTTTAATTGAAATCCCTATTTATAATTCCCACTACACAATTTTGATTCACCCCAGTCTTTTCCTTATCCCTCATTTTATCTATTGAGTTTGCATTTATTCCTACAACAAGAACCTTCAACAAGGTTGGAATAAGTGTGCATGACTGGCCCAAAATCACCCAGTGAGGTCTGTAGTTGAATGGGGACTTGAACCTTTCCTAGTCCCAGTTCGATACTACAGTAGCCATACTATTACAGTATACAGAATTTCCCTTACCCCATTACTTTACTTCAGTAAAGCTTTCTTATTTTCCATAGCCATTGTTCCATAGCCACTGTTCCTCGTTAAAACTGTTACTGTCTTAATCTAAATACTCTCTATAGCTGTCATTTTTTGGCTCACTGAAGGGGAATTTACTCTTTTTTGTGTGTGGAAATATAGTTGAGAAGAAATAAGGTAATGGAATCTCTTCTAGTGATGAGACTCAGTTCCTGTTCTTCCTCATGTTGCTTCCAGGTTCACTTTGCCAGAACAGAACACAGCGCTTTGTGATAACCTGTAGATCCACAGGTGTCTGCAGCTAGCTGCAATGCTGGCAAGATGACATTTGCTCTTTTGTACTTGTGCCACAGTTTTGCCTGCAAGTACATAAGGGACTGAGTTTGGTGATTGTTGAGATGCATATTGTGCTTCTTGTCTCCCCCCGCCCTCCCCCCCCCCGCAGTGGATGCCTGAGTATGTATCGAGGGGAGGAGCCTTGGAAGTCACGCCGGCTTGGTTCCTTCTAGGAAACTTTAGTGGGGTTAAAGAAATTAACTAAGGCGCTTTTCATTCTGTCTTATTACAAATATTTTAGAATTTGCTTTTAGACCATCCAATTGTCTTTGAAATTTCCAGAGGAAGCTCTCTGATAGTGTTTTTAAAATGAAAATGCAAGTAACTCTCTGTGTCACAAATCTAGATATGCCTGAAAAAGGAGTATCTTTCCTCTAAACAGAACGGATAAAATTTAAAAGATTTCTTTGTAGGATGTGACACTTTTGAGTGCAATATGGAAAAGAGTCAGTTCCTAAATTGGTGGTAATAGTCAATGGCAGCAGAATACTGTAGAGACAGCTTGATCCAGAAATGACAGAAATACAGCTAAAGAATCTGGTTGTTGTGTATATCTTTGCCTTCCTCAGAAACACGATTGCATGCAGCCATTCAGTTGACTAGACTGGGGCATAAGAGTTTCTGATCTTGTTTTTAATCTGGCTACAATGAGCAGCAAAGCTTTGAAATCCTTTGAAACACGCACAAAAAGTATTGGTTCCAATCAGCATAGCATTCCAGAATTACTATTCCCAGTACAGTATCTGTAGAAAACATGGTCAGTTTAGCAGCCTCTGCAATACTATAGGTTGTCTAGCCCTTGATCTAAGAATACTGCTGAACAGAGATAAGTTACGTCCCGCCCTTTAAACGTTGCTGAATTGCAAATCCCATCCTCCTATCCCATTCCTTGTGCTAGGTGGGATTGCTGGGAGTTACAGTTTATCAACATTTGGAAAAGATGGTTTCAACCCCCCTAAGGGTTTTTTTTTAAAATATTTAAAGTAAAATATTATTATTTTACTAATACGGAAAATTAGTAAAAATGATAGTAAACACATGTATCATTTAAAATAAAAACATTAATAAAAGAATGTCCCTTTAATCAGTCCCTTTAGTGTAGATGCTATCACATGTTTGGAAACTAGTAGTCATTTGAAAATACATATTATGGTGGCTTTTATGATAGCTGAAGATCGTTATAAAACTCTTCTTGTTGGAATTGGCCTTTGGTGAATTTGGTGATGTCTGTGTGTTTGATACAAGGTAAACTGAAATTGCTATTACTGTACTGTTATCTATACACCAACCAGCCTCACAACTGAGGCCTCTTCTTTTTATCTACAGTAACACAGGTTTCTCAACCTTGGCAACTTTAAGACATATGGATCCAACTCCCAACTGGGAGTTGAAGTCCTCATATCTTAAAGTTGCTAAGATTGAAAAATACTGATCTCACACTTGATTGCCATTTTCGTTTGTCTGCTACATATTCAACTTTGTTGCATATGTATATATAAAGTTGGAGCTCTGCTCAGCTTGGATTATGCCACTCTAAGGTAAGTTGTGTTTTTGTCTTGTCCTAGAATAGGAACTCTTGCCTTTAGTAGTTTGAAAGAAAAAAATCCTTTTGTTAGAAGTTCATTTAAAAAAATAGGAAAATTAAAAAATCAATCTGGAGTGGGAAATCGCCTCCCCCTACCTTAGATACAGGTCTAGTTTTTATTTATTTTTTAAAAAAATACTGTGGCTTTTGAGGAACAGTTGCCGAATTGTTTCCAAATAAGGTAGCTGAGGAGAAATTAAATTCAGATTTGCCAGAAAAACAATTATACGAAATTGTAGAGGGAGGGAAAAATTTATCCAAGCCGAGATAAAATGGTTTCTTAGAGGAGGAATGTAATGAGCCATCAGTGGAAATATAGAAGGTCTCTTTAGTGTTGCATAGGGCAATAAAACTGAATACTCTGCAGGACCATATGCCAGATATGACATTGGTACATTAGTAATAAAGAAATGAGTTGTTTAAAAATTCCAGGATGGTTTTTCTAAGTATTTAATAATCTAAAAGCATCAGGTATCAATACTAAACAGTATCTCAAGGTCTCTGAAGAACCTCATCTCTTCCACATGTATGAAGTTCTTGAACCAAACAAATGCTTTCTTTTCCTTAGTCACAGATTAATCCTTTTGTCCAACAAATTTGTTTCATCTTGGAAAAAGTCTGTGGAGCAAAGATACCTGTAGTTGCTTTTTCCGCATTTAGGCAGTATATTGTTTGGCATGGAGAGCTCCTGGTGGAATGTTTCAGAAGGGATCAGAATATATTCTTTGAGAAATTCTGCACTGCTGCATTTTGAGGCAAAGATTATAGATTGTGATGGATATCCACTATAGGCAAATAGCTGTCTTTTATTACTTTGAAGGTTGTTGGAGGCAGTTCAGTATAAAATGTACCTCTTTATCTTATTTATTTATTCATTTTGTATATCTGCCCACCCCATATTTGTGACTTTGGGCAGTTCGCATAGTTAAAAGCAACCAAATAACACCACCAATAAACAAAACACAGGAAAATAGTAAAAACACAATAACCCTTAAAACCAAATAAAAACCTAATTGAAACCAAAATTCATAAAAAAAGAGGCAAGTGCAAGTCTTGGATCAATGAGTATAACCATCTAGCAGGCTCCAAACCCTAACCATATCCCCAGGGCCGCTGATACCAGCCTATCTTCAGAGCCTTTCGAAAGGCAAGCAAAGTCAGGGCCAATCTTGCCTCCAGCAGGATGATGTTCCAAAGGGTGGGTGCTGGGGCAGAAAAGGGTTTCCTCCTGGGTCCCATCAATGACACTCCTTCATGGACGAGACCCATAACACTCCCTTTCTGCCAGACCTGATGGGATGGGTAGATGTAACCTGGGAGAGGCGGTCCCTCTTCTCTAATAGAGGAGATTCCTATACTCTCACTTGAGGCTATCCTATTCTGTGTTGAAGTATACACAAAGAAAGGTGTCAGGTCTATTCATGATGTATCAGGCTGAGATTCTGATCTCCAGTTCAAGAGGGAATGAGTCATACTCTTCTTTAATGTTCACTTTCAGTGGTTCAGGACTAGGCTGTATGGAATAGTTAGGGTCTTGTAGAAAAATAATCTCTTTTGTGAAGTAGACTTGAGAATAAGCACTTCTAGGAATCCTTCAATATGGCCTGGCTTCATAAGAATTATGAATGGAATTATGATGAATGCAGTTGTATATCACTACCCATCTCTTTTCCAAATGTATTGAATCAGCAAAATAACTAATTTTTTTTCCACTGGTTTTCCTCATTACTTTCCCCCTTCCTTCCTATTAAAGGCCACTTCTAGTATAAAAGAAAAAGAAAACCAAACCCACACATCTGATCCACTTAACACAGTGGCTTTGGCTATAAAGTAAGCATTCCCAGTCTGTCCCATATTTTGGAGGAACGAAGGAATTAGGAACGCAAATTTACAGCAATTAGATCTAGTACAGTACTTGAAGTTTCAATCCCAGAAAACAAGAGGAATTGGAGAAGCAGATCCTTATAATTTACCTCTAGGGAAGGTGTGTGGTTCCTGTTCTTATTCTTCTTCTTTTTTGTAGGAAGGCACATATGATTGCTAGTAAAGGTAAAGAGCAAGAGAAAGCAAGAAGGAAGGAAATAAACTTACTCACTAGGGGCTCAACCACCAGGAAAGCCAGAAACCTGCTCTCCAGTCCAAAACAGGAAACGGTCTGGGCCTAGCCCCAGGCCTTCTGCCAGCACTGTAGCAGTCTGCCTTCTAAAGCCAAGGGGAGGAGGCTTCCCACTGAAGATGATTTGTCCTCTCCCTGACAGAATAATTCTGTGTTGCTCATTCACTATCCATTTTATATTGTCCACAGCTCCACCACTATCAACAGTAACAAGGTCTGGTTTTATGTATCACTGAAATCAAAAGGTAATGTTAGGAAATTGGCCACCTTTTTGAATGTAAAGCAGCATCAGTATAGCACAGTGTACAGCCGGTTCAACAGCGGTAAGCATTGGTGCTTGGCGATAATGGGCAGCATTAACCATCCTAATTTCATTCTGTTAAAAGGAGAAAAATGAGCACAACTAGAAACGTGAGTTCTATGGATTTCAAGAGCTGGGGTGACTCGGCCTGGCCTCCACTGAAGAAGAGATGCCCCTCTGTCAGGAGATCAGAGTTCACCCAAATGCCCAGTGTTTTGTCAAAACAAATATTTACTGGCTCATCAGTTTGGAAACCAACAATAAAATCGGCTTCCTATTGAACTATCTTTGAAATTGATTCTTCATAAAGGGATAGTGCCAAAACGTTGTGCATTAAAGTGTGTTCCAGTTACTTGGGAAGGAGTAACAATTAGACCTCATTTCTGCATCAGAGACTACTGAGAACAGTAAAATACAGACTACAGAGATTTTATGCTTAAATGCTATATAAAATTGTGATTGTGTATTGCAGCTTTCAAAAGTATCACTAAGCAGCCTCTTCATATTTTCTTACAGAGTGAAATCACAGTACTTGCTATGTTGCTTGCTGTATATTTCAGAAGCACAAGTGGAAATTAGGGTTGGGCAGTGCTTCAGATGCAGAGACAAAAAGATGTTTCAGGGCACACAGGGACACACTCATTAAAGCAGCTGTGTCTTTTCCTGCAAGCGTGTGTGTGCCTGCTGTAGCTGCTGGGAGAAGTTGCATTAAAGAAGTTGCAAACAAATGCTTATGTGAGTGCCTTGCCTTTTGGTCAAGCATCTTTTGGTCTTTAAATCCAAGGCTCTGCTGACCCCAGCTGGATTGTTCTAAAAGGCTGTACAACAGCCTTTCATAAATTTAACATGAATGTGGCCTTTGCTGCTTCCATATTTATAAGTAGTTTTCTTATTCAGATACAAAATAAGTTTTAACAGCCTATCCACAAAACAGCTAAAAAATAGGCAGTTACTTCATTTCTAAAGGTTCGTTGAGGAGTTACTGATTCTGCCTGTGCTGTAGTACAGACTTTTTACATGTTTAAAATAAGGAATCTACTTGGATGCAGCTCAAAATCTTCTAAAGCTTAGGGCTGAGGTTTCCTTTCATAAAATTCTCCTCTACCAACAGAAGTGAATCTTTGTTTATCCATTTAACTTACTGTCTTTAGCTTCATTTGATTCAATTTTATGGTAGTGTCTTTTTGGACAGGTATTACAAGTTGTAAAACCTAAATAATGTGAACTTTGCAGGAACAAAAATATAATTAATGTTACTGGTTACAGGAAAATACTTTTTTTTTTTCAAATAAAAGCATTATTTTTCCAAGTTTCAATTTCAGAGACTGAAATGGAAGCAATTTCAAGCCAGTTGCCTAGTCCTACATTGCTTTATTGTTAACCATTAACATATACCTGACTGAATCTTTGACGCTATAAAAAGTATTTGGCCTTTAGTCTTCTGTTAGAAGTAATCTCTTGAGGTAAAGAGAAAAGTGTCATTGCACAGCAGCAGGTGTTGAGGCCTAACTGATGATCATGGCAAATAAAGTAGTGTGCACCCTTGATGTTCAGGATACACATACATGTACAACACACATGTAAGAAAAGTAGAAAAAGACCAAAAATGTATTGATGAATAAAAGTGGTTGTGTACTGTTAGCAGACAGATAACAGAATAGCCTTTTCTTCTGACATGTTCTGGAAAGGAATGGCTATTATAGACAGTTGAACGAGGTTTCCTGTTTCATTGTATACTTAGATCTTAGTACTGAAATTTCCTCTTTCTGGTGGCCTGAAGCACGCTAGGTGCAAATAAAGAAAGTAACCAAAGACTCAAAATGCTCTAAAATTGTGAGAAAATCCTCTTTGCTGCAATCCATAGAGCTATGTTTCGCTTTCTCTGTACCCAAGAAACATGCTTGTCTGTATGAATATATGAGTTGCAAGATAAATTGTATCTCCTAACAAAACCACCAGAAATATTTGTTTTCAAATGTTTTAAATTGTTTTAAATGTAATTGTTTTCTTATGGGCAGAAATTTGGAAGTTTTGTTCTCTTTAACGTATTGGAGTTTTCGTGCTGCAGTCTGGCTTCAGTAAACTTGGAATAGTGCTTGTTTCTTTTCCTTTTGCTCCGAAGATACTATCATATAGAAGTTTATAGAATGTGTTTAATTCTAATTAATTGAGTATATACTTTGGGAACATAGGTTTTTTATTTCATATTAATAAAAATGAATTTCAGAAAACTGCTTTTCCAGGTTGCAATTCACTTAGCACTTATAAGGAAAGAAAGCACTTAAGGCATACAACTTCACTCATTGTTTTAAATTAAAAATAATACAAGTATCAGAGACGCACATTCAAAATACAGAGCTCTTTGTCCAACCCTTACATCCTGTAAAGAGGAACGCTTCCCAATAAAGAGCAGGGTTCAGCTGCAGCACTTTTTTATAAGTTGCAAATAAATGAACAGTAGCTGTGCTAAAGCTCTATTAATAAAGCCATACAAATGGAGGAGTTTGGATGGACGCTCTTGACTTAAACATTGAATTCCATAAAATCCTATATAGTAATTCCAGTAGTAAATGCAACTGATTTTAAAATGCTGATAATTTTGCATGGTTTTATTCCTAGATTGTTTCTTACTCTTATACATTCCAGAATACAATAAAATTGGCTTTAGAAAGGCAATATGCCACATATTAATATGTAGAGAAATTATATTCATCAGCTTATTTTATTTATTATAGAGCCCAAGGTGATATTAACCTCCTCCTCCTTGGAGTCTGTCTTGGACATGTTTTAGCTGCACGTTTTATTGAGATCTTCAAGAAACTCCGCTTTTCAAAACATGGTTATTAGGGCTGCATGAACCATTTGGAGGGGTGGTTCTCTGAGCATGCAAATACCTTTCCTGGGATCACTGCTGATGGGCCACCTTGAAGAGAACGTGATCTCTTGATGCCTTAAGCAGTGGCTTCAGAGTGGGGCTTTGGTTGTTTACAAAGCACCTCTGCAGACGAGTCACACACCCCAAATCATTACGTCCCACATTATACAAAAGAATTTTTCCTACTTACAACCAAAAACTGTTGCAAAATTATTAAAAGAACTGGAGAGAGAGGGAGAGAGAGATTTTAACTTATTTCCTCTTTGAAACAGAACTAAGTTGTTTAAAAGACTGAACCTTTTGTCAATATATAGTCCTGAAAGGATCCTGAAGTGCTGAAACTTCTCCTACAATTTATATCCTAAGATACCTGAGATAAGGGTCAAGCAGACTCCATTTCTTGAACCTGAGGAATGATTTTAGCCCATAACTAAAATGTCCCTCTATGGTTCGTTGAAATCTAAGTGGAGACATTTCAAACATTTTAAATTGCCAGATTTCTTGTTAACACTTTAAAGAGATCTGAAATAAACACTGGCATTTGCTTCAAAAATATTTACTTTCAATAAAGAAAGGCACTGTCTTATAATACCTTATATACAATATATTGCATAGATTGCCATCAACACAGGAGTGCAAAGCATGTAGCTAAATAATATATAATATATACCAGGAGAAATAATATACATCTGACCAGGCAAAGTGATTTTGCAGCAGGATTATATTAAGATACCACTTGTAAAACATGCCAGTAAGAGCAGTTCAGTGATCTTTGCTGGTCGTTGCTGTTATAAAATAGATTTTCTTTCTTTAAACAAGTGTTTTCTGGTCAAACAACTGTAGATCAAAGCGTACCCAAACTTCCCCTGTTGGTACTTCGTGCAGGAGTAAACGTTTAGTTGTAGGTCCCTTGTTTTCTTGCTCTGTCCTGATTTTGGCTACTGGAACTTCAGTGCGACCCAAGAAATCTGTGTAACAAAATTTCTAAGTCAGATCACCAAATGTGAAGCACATGCATGAACAGACAATGAAGGAAGATTCTAAAGAAATAAAAGAAATTAAGCATTATCACTGCATATTCTGGACAGTCAAAATCAGTAGGTGTCTGGGGTCTTTCTGAGCATATTCTTCTGTTTTCTATTCACTAAAATGGGAAGGAGATTATAAATATAATCAAACACAGAATTCCACACATACCATCAGGTGAAAACTGATCCCTGTCAAACATGGTGATACACAACACATCTTGATAAAGATCCTTGATGAAGAATTGACAGTTAAAGTTCCATTTGGGGTTCAAGGTATCTGGCAGTGTCCTGGTGGTGTAGCTTTGAGATCCCATGCTGATTTCACAATATGGGTTGCTTTTTCCTTAATACAAAACAGAAGTGCATCCATGACAGTTTCTCCAAAGAATAACTTTATGGTTTTAATATTTGGTTATATATGCTATTATAAATATGCTGCTATTACCTTCAGCATATTTACCATACTATGCAGGAAAAAAGATCTCCCCTGCAAGGCTGCATATTATACTTTGCCTTCAGAAATGCGTGCTTGGCAACCACGACTTCTAACCACAACTCCCCCCTCAGCTAGTTTAAACTACTTGGCCGGATAGTTGATCATCCATCCCTGAATTATTACCATTAGGTTTACAGGCTTTTAATTCTGTGGCTTCAATCACATGCACCATCAAACGCCCTATTCCTGAGCTCTTTTGTGATCGAGCTGAAAAAAAAAAGTGAAAATTAGATGTGAAAAGATTGCAGAACATCATGCTATCTACTGGCATATTTGCACAAAAGTTATTTCTGCATTTTCCAAGTTGATCGATTTGTTCTGAAATTGCTTCGTGAATACTAGGAACTATCCCTCAGTAACCAGGTTGTCAGCTGCTGTTTATACAGATCTATGAAACTGGGTGGAACTGACGTATAATCAGCGTTTTTCCATTAACACATCTGCACCTAATAAAAAGGAATCTAGCACATCTTTAGAGTTGGTACCAAACATGTTATTTTAAAGCCAAAAGTATCTTTTATGAATATGGCTGTCTTAGAATGTTTGAAAATGTCACCTGGCAGGCAAAATATATCACCTAAGACACAAATAGAAAAGCCTTCCAATCACACAAAAAAACAATAGCTGTTACTAAGAGTCGCAGTCAATCGGTGTTCAGCACCTTGGTAAGCCTTTTCATGTTTCTTTTTTTCAGTTTCAATATACTGTTCTGAGGCTCCTTTAATTTTCTGGACCCAGGCAGTTCTACAAGAATGAATAATTTTGTTAAAGGACAAAAATAACAAAAACAGTTAATGAAGAGATTTGGCTTTATCTGAATACAAATCTCTGAATGTCACACTCTAGTTTCATTCCTAATTATTGCCTACTGAAAACATACAG